TTGGGCTGGAAACCAAACCCAGAAACCCAGCAGTGTCTTAGCAGCATGAGCCACTGTGGCTGAGCTACATTGTACTATTTACCAAGGCTTGAAACCAGATCAGAAGCCATCAACCACAAATCCATTTTCACAACACATCAGGAATTTAGCAATCTAATGTTGGACACATGAGCTAGTTCAAGCCAGCAATTTCATACAGGACACGGATGTTGCCCTGCTTCCTCAAAACTTTAGGATAACCTACAATACCCCTATGACTTCACTGTAATACAGTAAGGCACTTCCTGCAGTTTTTGGAGACTTGGCATTAGGGTATCATTCTTACCAATGATCACCACCTTCCAGCCCTGATAAAAGGGAAAGAAGATAATGAAAGGTTGTCTTCATTTTAGAACAGAACCTGAAAATTGTGCCTATCCTTTCCTGTTCAGACCTCATTGGCCAGAACGTAGTCACATGACCATATCTGGCTGCAAGGAGAGCTGGGAATGTAGTCTCCAGCTAAATTGCCTTGTGTCCACCTAGAACCTGAAAGACCATATTTACCAAAGGGAAAAAAATACAGGGACATAACTATCACAATCTGGATATTAATCTTTTGTTTCTGTTATAAATTCCAAAGATTTTCTCTGACATGTCACCTCCACACCACCTGCTGGCCCATTAATTAATTTTTTTAGACAGGGTTTTCCTGTGTCAGGATCTTCATACCTTAACTTCTCAAATAGCTGGGACTACATGTCTGTGCCACAGTGGGCCAGGAAACAAACCCAGGCCTTCCACGTGGCCTGAGCTTGCCCAACAGTATCAACCAGTGCCAGCTGCTACTTTATTGCCATGTATTTCTATATATAATCTTAAGTACCTTAACAGTAGGGATACATTCTGGGAAATGTGTTGTTAGGTGATTTCATCATTCTGTGAACATCATAGAATATACTTAGACGTATGCCATTACAAACCTTGATGGTGTAACCAACTATACACTTAGGCTATGTGATATTATCTTTCAGGACCACCATTGTATATGCAGTTCATAGTTGACCGAAACATGAGGCACATCTGTACCAAAAAAATGTGATTTTTCTTTAATCAACAGAGGGCATGTGTACTCACTAGAGAGAAAGAGAGAGAGAAAGCACCCCTTCAATGGGGCATGCCATCCCTCAGTCCTTTTTCCTTCATTTCTCCATCTCATCAGGACCCAGGGCATGCATGCATCTGCATGCATATTTTTCTTTCTTTCTTTCTTTTTTTTTGGAGAGGTTTTTGCTATAGGGCGCATGCGCTCGCCAGACAGACAGAGAGAGACATAGAGACAGAAAGCGAGAAATTACCCCCCCAGAGGGGATGGTCATGCCGCAATCCCTTCTCCTCCATTCTCCTCTCGGGATCTTGGGCACGCACGCACATGTGCCCGGCGTGAGTTTTAAGCCACCGGGTCCGGGACACGAACCGCGGTCGACTATGTGGGAGTCCAGCGACATAGCCATTACGCTAACTGCTGGTTCCCTGCATGCATATTTTTCAAGCCTCTGGGGCCAAGACTCAAATTGCAGTAAGCCATATTGGATCTGGTTTCCTACACACAGCACTTAACCATGGTACTATGTGGCTGGCCCCCCAAATGTGAATTTTATATTTGTTTACATTACTATAATCATAGTGCCTAGACAATTGTGTACTTTTTAAAATTTTGCTACAGAGCACAGACACTCGCCAG